TTTTATTACTTACCAAGAATGCCTTGAACTTGAAAGGTAGTAACACAGTGAAATATACATTAGAATTTATGCTAACATTAAACTTATAAAATATAATATTTAATAACATTTCATTTTTATTCTCAGCAGAGCGCGATGACAAGGATGCAAAACTGAAAAATACACGAACAAAATGACTTAAACGTTAATATTTCGGGTATTTCCCTAATTTGTTGCCGACTTCCACAACCTGTCGTAAGTGTCTAAGATACGTACAATCACGAAAAAAAGTATCCGGAAGGTAACAAAAAAGGAATCGTTTATTTTTTAATACTGATATTTCTCAGGCACACAACAAATACGGCGTTTGTGTCCTTTTCTAGAAACGGCAAAACGATGTATTTGTTGTGTGTCTCTTTTCGATCCTTTAGTTGTTATTTTTCGGCTACTTTTTTCCGTGTGCATATAAGTACATGAAACTGTACATATAAGTACATTCGAATGTTATTGTTATCGTTTTAACAAGCGTAAGCTACATTGCGTTTATGGAAATAAAAATATATATTGTCCTGAAAGAAAGAATGTTTGAACTTTGTACACTTCAAATATTTATTATTACATATTATTTTATCAGACAAATCAAGAAAGGAGATAATTTATGTTACTACACAGCGTAGATGCCATAAGAAAGTGCTGATAGACACAGGTTGAGTCAGCCCTGCCAGAAGGAAAGACGTGCCATTTCTATTATGAATATATTATTACAGTTTGATTTAGACTATTAATATTCCTTTTTATTTACAATATGTTTTCCAGAAATCAATTATAATAAAAATAAAAATTATACAGCAATTTTTTGCTTTGCGGACCATTTGGCGCCCCTTTGTGAGTAGCGCCCGGGGCATGATGCCCTCCCTTGCCAACCCCTCACTACGCCACTGAGCTAGGGGTCTCGAAGTTTGAACCTTACTCGTGCCATTTTAATTTCTTATTATTCCATTACGCTTTCTTTGCTAGATTTCACACACAGAACACCCCATGCATGCTAGAATATCCAAAATGTCGCAAAAGGAGTCGAAAAAGAGCAAGTAAACTGATTCTCCTGGATTATTCTAGTTTTTTCCCATTTTCTCAGTAAAAAAAAATTATATCCTACATGCAGGACACTCCAGAATATCGAAAAAATAATGAAAAAGATAATATAATTTAAAATAAACAATGGAAGAAAAAAAAGAAAATTTTTTGAAAAAAGCGTCCGTCCCTGGGATTCGAACCCAGCACCCCTCCTCAGGGTCCAAGTTCCACAATTATAACTTAATATTAAAGGGAGTTAGACGGCTTCGAAATTCAAACACCACTCCGCCATTTTATATTATTATTCCATTATGCGTTCTACGACAAAGAAAGATGCACGTTTCTACTCATAGAACACCTTACTCATGATAAACTTTCGAATATATTGTAAAAATAAATTGAAGCAATGGAAATAAACCAATTTTCCTGGATTTTTCCAGTTTTTACCCATTATTCGCCATTTTTCCAATTTAAAAAAATTATTTCCTGCATGTAGGACGTTCTAAAATATAGAAAAACGCATTGAAAAAATAATATAATGCATAATAAGCGGAAGAAAAAAAAAGAAATTTTTTTGAAAAGTTGCTGAAGCTCGGATTCGAACCTGCGCCCCCTCGCCCAAGCCGTCAGTTACTAGTCCGGTGTCTTGACCACCATACCACTCGAACACGAGAAGCCTGCCACAATTTCGCTTCAAATGTCCTCTCACAGTCAGCTATGCAATAGACCTTTGAGGGCTCCCTGATCCCCCTAATTCACCTATAAAAAATTCCTTAAATAGACGTGTTTGGACCGTGGTCCCCTACTTAGGGTCCGAGTTTCAAAATTATAACTTAATATTAAAGGGAGTTAGCCGGTTTTGAAATTCTAACACCACTCTGAAATTTTATTTTATTTTTTTAGTATTATTCCAATATGCGTTCTTTAACAAAGAAAGATTCACGTTTCCACTCATAGAACACCTTACGCATGATAAACTGTCGAATATATTGTAAAAATAAATTAAAACAATGGAAATAAACCAATTTTCCTGGATTTTTCCAGTTTTTACTAATTATTCGCCATTTTCCCTCTTTAAAAAAATTGATTCCTACATGTAGCACCCTCTAAAATATAGAAAAACGCATTGAAAAAATAATATAATGCAAAATAAGGGGAAGAAAAAAAGAAATATTTTTGAAAAGTTGCTGAAACTGGGATTCGAACCTGGGCCCCCTCGCCCTAGACGTCAATTACTAGTCCGGAGTCTTGACCACCATACCACTCGAACACGAGAAGCCTGCCACAATTTCGCTTCAAATGTCCTCTCACAGTCAGCTATGCAATAGACCTTTGAGGGCTCCCTGATCCCCCTAATTCACCTATAAAAAATTCCTTAAATAGACGTGTTTGGACCGTAGTCCCCTACTTAGGGTCCGAGTTTCAAAATTATAACTTAATAAAGGGAGTTAGACGACTTTGAAATTCTAACACCACCCTGTTATTTTATTTTATTTTTTTATTATTATTCCAATATGCGTTCTTTAACAAAGAAAGATGCACGTTTCCACTCATAGAACACCTTACGCATGATAAACTGTCGAATATATTGTAAAAATAATTTGAAAGAATGGAAATAAACCAATTTTCCTGGATTTTTCCAGTTTTTACTTTATATTCGCCATTTTCCCAATTTAAAAAAATTATTTCCTACATGTTGGATCCTCTAAAATATAGAAAAACGCATTGAAATAATAATGTAATGCAAAATAAGCGGAAGAAAAAAAAAGAAATTTTTTTTAAAAGTTGCTGAAGCTAGGATTCGAGCCTGCGCCCCCTCGCCCCAGCCGTCAGTTACTAGTCCGGTGTCTCGACCACCATACCACTCGAACACGAGAAGCCTGCCACAATTTCGCTTCAAATGTCCTCTCACAGTCAGCTATGCAATAGACCTTTGAGGGCTCCCTGATCCCCCTAATTCACCTATAAAAAATTCCTTAAATAGACGTGTTTGGACCGTAGTCCCCTACTTAGGGTCCGAGTTTCAAAATTATAACTTAATATTAAAGGGAGTTAGACGTTTTTGAAATTCTAACACCACCCTGCCATTTTATTTTATTTTTTTATTATTATTCCAATATGCGTTCTTTAACAAAGAAAGATGCACGTTTCCACTCATAGAACACCTGACGCATGTTAAACTGTCGAATATATTGTAAAAATAAATTAAAACAATTGAAATAAACCAATTTTCCTGGATTTTTCCAGTTTTTACTAATTATTCGCCATTTTCCCTATTTAAAAAAATTGATTCCTACATGTAGCACCCTCTAAAATATAGAAAAACGCATTGAAAAAATAATATAATGCAAAATAAGGGGAAGAAAAAAAGAAATTTTTTTGAAAAGTTGCTGAAACTGGGATTCGAACCTACGCCCCCTCGCCCCAGCCGTCAGTTACTAGTCCGGTGTCTTGACCACCATACCACTAAACCACGAGAAGCCTGCCGCAATTTCGCTTCAAAAGTCCTCTCACAGTCAGCTATGCAATAGACCTTTGAGGGCCCCCTGATCCCCCTAATTCACCTATAAAAATTTCCTTAAATAGACGTGTTTGGACCGTTGTCCCCTACTTAGCGTCCGAGTTTCAAAATTATAACTTAATATTAAAGGGAGTTAGACGGCTTTGAAATTCTAACACCACCCTGCCATTTTTTTTATATTTTTTATTATTATTCCAATATGCGTTCTTTAACAAAGAAAGATGCACGTTTCCACTCATAGAACACCTTACGTATGATAAACTGTCGAATATGTTGTAAAAATAAATTAAAACAATGGAAATAAACCAAGTTTCCTGGATTTTTCCAGTTTTTACTAATTATTCGCCATTTTCCCTATTTAAAAAATTGATTCCTCCATGTAGCACCCTCTAAAATATAGAAAAACGCATTGAAAAAGTAATATAATGCAAAATAAGGGGAAGAAAAAAAGAAATTTTTTTGAAAAGTTGCTGAAGTTGGGATTCGTACCTGTGCCCCCTCGCCCCTGCCGTCAGTTACTAGTCCGGTGTCTTGACCACCATACCACTCGGACACGAGAAGCCTGCCACAATTTCGCTTCAAAAGTCCTCTCACAGTCAGCTATGCAATAGACTTTTGAGAGCCCCCTGATCCCCCTAATTCACCTATAAAAATTTCCTTAAATAGACGTGTTTGGACCGTAGTCTCCTACTTAGGGTCCGAGTTTCTAAATTATAACATAATATTAAAGGAAGTTAGACGGCTTTGAAATTCTAACACCACTCTGCCTTTTTTTTTATTTATTATTATTCCAATATGCGTTCTTTAACAAAGAAAGATGCACGTTGTGACAAACTGTGATGGCAAGTCTGAAAATTTTTTGATACATATTTTCGTTGACTTTTTTAGTACTTCTCTATATCCAAGTGGTCCCACTGTTGACTGATCGTTAAGACAATGTTCCCAGCAGAACACCGAAGTCAAGCATCACTGGCTGCGGTCATTGTGCGGGAATTTGACCATTTGGATTAGTCTGCGTAGGGACCGAGGATTTGCGTTATTGGTCCTCGTTAAAGTGTTCTACCGTAAATTGCTCGACTTCGCGTGTAGGTCATGGAGCTACCGAAGCAGAGGTGCCATCCCCTCTGCAGAGGATCAAAATTGTGATAGTATGTTTTCGGATTATCCTCAGGGATGTTTCCCATTCCGTTGTCAAAAGCCCATGTTGCAGCTTTAGTGCGACGTAAATGAACTACAACTATACTCAAGTGCTTGTTTTAGTTTTTCCCGCTAAAACATTTCATATTTCAGGTTATGCTTCAAATCTCTGTCTCCCATTCGCGAATTTTTCTTAAACAGTGAGAATATCCCTTGAGGTTTAGCAACGGGTGAGCTAGTTGCTTTAGGGTAGGCTGATCATATGATGTAAGATTAAAGAACTCATGTAACAGAAATAGCAGGTCAGAAACGTCGTAATCAAAATAAACAGAATACAAATTTGGCAGAAAATTTAATTTTTTTTTTTTTTTTTTCAATGAGCTTCGATAAATGAGATTAAAATTTTCTATTTTTAATAGACTGTGAAGAATGGACCTCATTTAAGAAATCCTTCGTCTCTTGGGAATTCCTTTAAAGAACATTAAGCAGTATGCTCTTGATGAAGCTATATGCTTGGTTAGTTTTATTTCCACCCACTAAATGCTTAAATTAGTCATGGAACTAATTTAATCTTTTAGTGGTATACCGTGCTTATTGTATTTTCTACTACAAATCGTATTTTGATATCGTAAATAGAATAGTAATTTTTATATTGAAAAACTGTGAAGTATGAATAGTACTCAAACCAACTCTTAAATTCGATATTATATAGGTTTTATAATTTTGTATGAAACTTTAATAATACCAGGAGTCTGTCTAGGTTTTTCTGTAAGATACCTATTTTCTGAAAATTTAGACATAATTTGTAAAAAATTAAAAATTATATTAAAAAATCAATACAAAAACGTAGATTTATAAACTAAAAATATAGATTTATCGTTTCTTAAGGGATAAAAAAATAAAATTTTAAGAAAAAGCATTTTGTGAAACTACCGTTTTACCTAAAATTGAATTTGCGAAGGTACCGCTAAACGGTAGTAAATTCGCCCTGGACAGACCCCTGAATACATAGTTATTTAAAAAAAGAAATATAAAAAAATTACATTTTCTGTTATTATATTAAATTGTAAATTATTTAAATTCAAATATGTTTAGGTAGGAACGAATTGCTAAACAATTCTATTTGGCTATTTTTAGTATCACCCATTTCATTTACTTTGTTTCGATTTTATTCTTTTTTATTTTCAATGACCTGGAAAAAATAAATTTTTTCCAGTAAATATTCCTAACTAATATAAAACCAAGATTTCTTGACAATCGAGAATACAAAATTGTTTACTATATTTTCCCTTTTTATCAAGAAAGACCCTCTTTTTTCTTGCCCTTTGGTTTATTGAGCCCACATTGTATGCTGAAAGTTTTTTGCTTTGGTAAATTCTTTTACCCTTTATAGTTGAAACCATTAGTTTTGTCACATCTTGTATACTACTAACAGCTATGTAATTGATTAAATTGTTCTCAATCAAAAATTCTTGCAAATAAAAGTTTATTCAGCTAACTTTATTTTGGTTGTAAGAGACAAATTTTCAATTCTTTAAGTTTTGTTTGCAGAGTTAAATAATTGAAGTTTTTTTATTTTTGTGAAATATGACTAATTTATATTTATTTATATAATATGCCAATAATACTTACTTCTTAGATGATGCTACTAAAATTAAACATAGTTTGTTTATTTTTTTTAAAAATTTCTATAAAAGAATGTGTGTTAGAGAGATATGTCTCACACTTTTATGGGGTCGGCAGATTTGACCCTGAGACTTAAATGGTCTCAACAGAGAATTAAACTACCACTAATCATTTTATATGTTTAACTGCAATAGCATAGCAATTTTTGGGCATTTAATTACTTAATTTCTAAAAAATTTTTGGCAAATCCACCATATAAATTCAAAATAAATTTCAATAATTTTACTTACCTAAAATATGTAAAAGACATATATAACCAGATGTAAGTTTGCGAACACATTTTTTAAGCAACTCTCATAAGTGAAAACATCAGATTGTGTAAACAAGATATTTCTGAGAGTTTAAATAGCTTTCTTTACCTTATACTTTTCTCAAAAAAGAAAAGAAAGGAAAAAGCTAAAAATCTTTTATGAAAATTGTACCATTACTGATGATCATAAAAATTAAAAGCAAAGGATTTTAAGGTGTAGCACAATAAAATCCTTAATATAATATTCCAAGTTTCAGAAAAAAAGGCTTACAGATATAATAATTTAAAATTTTTGACATGTATTTTCCAAACAGTCATTGTTTAAGAAGTATGCTCATGAAATTAAAATGTTGTGAGAAAGAAAACAAATTTTTAAAATCCAGCTATTTATTAGAACTCCTTAGACTGCTCCAAAACTATTGTTGTTCAGTTCTGAGATTTTTCTATTTATATCATGATAACATCATATGCAGGTTGGAGTTTTTTTATTTTGAAATATAAAAAGTTAATTTTAGAAGTAAATCATCTTTATAGGTAAAACAACAAAAGCAATTAAATTACTAAAATCAACTCTTAAATATAAAACATTTCTAACATTTTGTATAGTTTTTATGTTTTGTAAATATATTTGATTTTAACAAATCTATCTCATTGTCAAAGGAAAAGACCCTAAATACTTTTTATATTTTCTTTTTAATATAGTATGCAAAGGAAGACAATATTTGTTCAATATATGTCAACAAATAGTATTTATTTCACGCAAATATTTATTTCACAATTTTTAATAAATTTATTTATAACTTTTAAATTAAATGTTTATTTTACTTTATCTATTTACCTATATTTTTCTTACTTCAAATAAAATTTTTTATGTGTTTAAATTAGTATATTTTTATAAAAAATACTAAGAAATTTTTTTAAAAGTCAAACAGTATTTTTCATAAAACTTTATTTTAGCTTTTTAGTACTTATTAGTTATTTCTTAATGTGATCTATAATGTCATTTCATTTTTAATATATAACTGAGTTTGTTTCAGTTTTTTTCCCTTTTAATATTATGAAATAATAAAAAAGATATTGTAGCTTTCTTTTATTATACATATTTGACGCAATTTTTCACAACTTTAATTTTCTCGTATGTAAGGGGAAACCTTTCTTTTCTAATCAATTAGATATACTATTTTTCTTAAGTTTTTCTTAAATTTATTTTTCTATTTCGATCCTTATGAAACATACACTTAATTGTAAAACTTATACTTGGCATTTTAATTTTATTTATTTAATTTTAGTTTTTCTTTTTTTGATATTCATAATGCATATCATTATTATTAAAAAGATTTTATTTTTCATATATTATGCACACACAAAGCCACCAGAACATCATAATGGCCCCCACTCTCTTTCTTTTTGTTAACCAGCACAAAACTTGTGTGAATGACCAAGAAAACCTTTCAGTGGCCTCAAACTAAATAGCACATTTAAATTCAGTGCCACATAATGTAATAAAATTTTGATTGATATTAAGATTTTAATCTACAGGCGGTGCCATCTCCTTATTTGTGTGCGAAAAATCAATCATTAAATCTGAAGTTATTCAGTTTTTTATTTATTTTTTGTAAACGTTTTTCTTATATTCAGTTACCTAAAAAACTGCATGATATTTTCTCAGACTACTAGCTTTCAGGATTTGGGTATTAAGTCTTTTTTTTTTTCTTATCTAAGTGCATTAATATGTGGATCCATGCACACATTTTATACAACTCCCAACACTGTTTCTTCTAGATTAACAATTTTGTACTATGAGTGATGAATAAAAATGTCATGATGAATAAAAAGCGAAAGAATTCACAATTATTTGCTAAAAATTATAGTTTGTATTTTAAAAAGTAAAATAAAAATCACCTAAAATTTCCTAGAGTTAAAATATTTAACGTAAGACATCACACATAGTCAAATTGTCGTTTTTACTTTAAAGTTCAATAATATTTTTAATCATTAAATTGTTACATTAATAACGGTTTTAATAATATGCCAATTTGTTCTAAATTAATTTCAACAGGAAGTTGTAACTAACTTTCTGGAAAATTTTTATGAATATCTTTACGAAATCTTATGTTCCAATTTAAACTTTGTTTTATGGTATTTGTGGCAATGATACTTTTTTATGCTAATATGCTTGATTTGATACTATATCAATATTCTCAAACCAATTAATATTGCACCTTAGTATGTGAAAATCTGTTCACCAGATTAACAATTATTCACAGTGTTCTTTTCGTGCATTCTCCATAGTCTTTATGCTAGTATATTCCTTTACTAAATTGTTATTAAATTGTTAGTATGAATTTTTTACAGGCTTATTCTGAAGCTTTGTGTGATTTTTGGAAACATTTGTTTAAGCTAAATGAAAGAAGAAAAGAAAACAACATAATTGTTCATTCTAATCCAGTTAACAAAGGTATTAATTCTTTTATTATTTTAAATATTATAAAGGGAGAGTAGGGGGAAATTAGGTAACTTGATTGTGTCAAAATTAATTCTATTTTTCAGTGGGCGAACTCTGAATTACACTTCACTAGTCAAAAAGATGCACCTATCATATTGTTGGGGATTAATTCAATGCATCTGTGTAGATAAGCTTGTTTTTCCGTATCAACTTTAATGTTCTTTTGTTTTTAAATCTAGCCTTATTACAATTATAAAATTATTTTTAGTTCAGCTTAATATATGTTTACCAATGATTCATAACAAACAATAAGGTTCATTAGTATCACTGTTCAGTATAACCTCTACTCTTGGGGTTAGACAGGATAACACCCAATCTTTCTCCTTGATGTGTGTCTACGCTGAGCCCACTAAAGCTACCAAACACTGAAGGAAGAAAATAACTGCATTTAAGATTGAACAAAAGTTTCATGGAACAAAGTTTATTGCTTCTTCCAAGTACAAAAACCTTATTTTCATATTTTGTGTAGTTTTTGAAGACAGCAGAATTGTAGTATATACTTTGATATAAAAAATTCTCTGCAGTTTTCTTTTAAAAAAATGCTATAGTTTTCGTAATGAATTTTGGTCAGGCCCCCAGATGTTTTGTCCCCCTCCCTTGAGTACAGTCTTGACTGACTGCATTACATGTAAATTGCTTGCATAATTTTCCTAAATTTCCTTATAAAATGGAAATGTCTGCTACTTTTTTCTTGAAATTCAAGTATTTCTAAATTTCCCATAGAGTTAGCATTTATTCCTGGTCTTACCCCACTAATGGGGTAAGGCTGGGTGATTCGACTTTTTCTAGAAGAAAATCATTTATAACAAAAGTTGTACATGTGTGACTTTTCATGACTGTTGTCTTGTATAAAACTAAACAATGGATATCTGAAAGTTTCTATGTTGAGCAGATCAGCTCCAACACCCTTTAAATCTTAGCTAAACGATCTTTACCCACTTTTCCCAATATCTGAAAATGAAAGACTATGATATTGAACTAAATTTAAGTATTATTTTTTTAATTATCCTTTTTTTAATAAACTTTTATAATTTAATAATATCTCACTGCCATGTATATTTTTTTTCATAAAATTATAATTCTCTATTTAGGTTGTATTTTGTGGATAAATTTACAAATTAAGTCATTGAAATGTAACATCACAAGATCACTTATGTATGATCTTTTGTGATGACTACTTGTTCTCATTCTATAATCTATGAAACAAAAATGGCAAACCTACAGTACTCGTGCCACTAGGTGTTCAGATGTTATAGTGGCACACATACTATAAATGACTTTATTTGCTTACATTTACTGCAAAGCGTTTTAAAAAAATCTCTAAGACTGACAACAGCAAAGGTAGATTCAGAAACGAGCACCATTGTGTGCAGAAGTTAACATGCAGTTATTTTATGATCTTTTGCCTATTTTAACTAGAATTCTTAATATTTATATCTGAATGTGCTTTAAAAAATCACAAGTTCTCTGAGTTATTACAGGAAATAGAATCTCAATAGGACAACATTTTTATGTTGTGTACAAATTCTTCTCAAATTTGAGGAACTTTTAGATGAAATTTGATTTTTTATACCAAAAAAAGAATTTAATTAATTTATGGGTTCAATTTCACTGCGTGATTTCATGTTTTTTTTTACATATGCAGCACTATCATTAGGAATTGCAAAGAAAAGTTTAAACTGAAAATATATTGCTTGAGATCCCTGAAGTGCAAACTTGATATATATTCCTTAAAGGAATAGCGAGTTTCGCTGATTTATCTTCTAAAGGCAGAAAAATATTTTTAAGAGCTGTTTGTATGTTACAAAATTCAGATGAAATATTATCAACGCTATCTTCTCTATTTTGTAAATTTTAGAAAACATGAAAGTTTTGTTTTAAGATCTCCCTTTGCTGAAATGAATGATCATAAAATGTAACTTTTTTTAGTGGTTTGATATTTCGGAAAGGAAACTGACAGAATGATCTTGGTAAAGCATTAGAAGAACTTAAGAATACAGATTTGAAGAATTGAACACAAAAAATCAGGTAATTTAATCCTTAGGAAATTGAATATTTTAATACTTGTTTTTAATGTGATATTATATATTTATTTATAATGTAATATAAACACAATTTGAAAAGTAATAGGTGCATTAAGAAGGCATCTTAAATTGAACAAAATTTTTTTAGAAACTGAAAGAAAATAATGGCAGATTAAAATAATATTTTCTGTTGTATTGATGCATTTAATTTTCCATGCTATAAAAAATTAAAAACTTTTAACATTAACTATTTTTTTCACTTACAACGGTGTTCTTCAGTGCAATTTAAAAATCTTAATATTAAATTGAAATATTTTCAAAAACATTTATTCAACTTATATCTGATACAAGTTAATCCTAAAACAGAAAATTCAGTAATAAAACATAATTTGATAGTTTAAAATCACAGTAAGGGTTTAAATATGAGTTTCAGAATGAAATACAATTTGTGGTATACTGGACACTTAAAAATAACAAACCAAAATCATAGTTTCATTGGTAAGAAAAAGGTTCATCATCCATGTTTATGGCTTAATTATGAAATATGTTTATCATGAACCACTTTTGAAATGACCTTAACTCTATTGTTGAGATTTAAAAGCATTTAAGTTTTAGCAAAAACTTTTAACCATTCATTTTATAAATTTATAATTTTTCATGAAAATTCCTTATTTGAAATTTTAATTATAGGATTTAAAATAAATAGTTCTATAATTGCAGAAACTCTTTATTATTATTTAATAACAAATATATAGTATATTGCACATTTACAACATCATGAGTATGCTAAACATATTCTGTGGAATTCAATTTGCTTGAAAACTATGGAAACAGCTCTTATTCTTTGTGAGGTAAAACTCACATTTAAAATTCCTAATTGAGACCCGAGGGTCATAGATAGGACACTAGATGAACATTTTCAAATTCAAGAGGATTGATTCAAACAGGATATATAATGAACAGATTGTTATAAATTTACAACTGCATAAAATGAAGGGTTGAAAACTTTAAAATGCTTTCAAATATAATTGAAATAAGCTATGTTAGGCCAGAAACTGTAATTGCCTTATAACTAATAGATAATAAGTCAAGTTTCTACTGATAGGGACAGCTTTTTGTTCTATCTTACATCAAATATGATGCAATTTATTGTTAACTAACTGTTGATCAGTCAAGAACAGGACATACTTCCTTTTATATTATTGAAAGTCGAATTTCTTAAAATTTTTGAATTATCATTGATAAAAGTAATGTTAATCTAGAGGATCAGATTCAATAGCCATTTCAGCATTCTTGCTCTTAATTCAGACGATGAAAAAATTATTTGAAGATATTTTGAAATTGTAGGTTTGATGACAAGAAGAACTGTTAGAAACTATTATAAATATATATTCAGTGATGATGAGTATGAAAACATCTGGTAAAAACAAAAAGCCCTTTCTTATGTCCAAGTGTGTAGTATATTGATATTTCCATGAAACTATTTATTTTTAGAGAATAATTAAAAGTCAACCACTAAAAGGTTTTCTTAAGGGAACTTAAGATAGAAACTTGGGTTTGCATGTTTCAAAAGGATAAATAGAAATTATTGTATTTCTCTTGAAGGTGACGTTGATGAGAACAAGTAAATGAGACATAAATACCATAAGCAGAATTTTATTTAACAGCTGCAACTACTTGGAATCTCCCTGTATATTAACCACAAGTAAAGAAAGTATAGTTATGAAAGAAGTTTTTTTTATAAGAAGAAATCCAAAAATCCTATCTAAAAGTACATGAAAAATATCCATTTAGATTTTTTGTGTACATATAATTTTTTATGTAGTAGATAAGCACATTTTGTCAATCTTCTTTGTTTATGGTGCCTTGGGCTTCTTTAAGCCACGCACTTGGCAATCTCTGATAATAAATCCAAAACTTTCTTAATAAATTGTTTAAAAATTATTCTTACACTTAAAATATTTTCTTGCATACAAATTACTAATCTTTTAAAATTGTAATTTTGTTCCCAAACTGTTGAGCTGTAATGTATCTTAATTTTAAGTGAACTGATTGTTAATATTTTCGTGTTTTATCTACAAAGTGCTTACAAAATTAAATTTTTAAACTCTATTAATTTACTATTTGTATTGTTAATTTACTAATGTGTCTGGAATATATTTATGCATTGAAATTAAATTGAGTGTATACCTGATAGCTCTTACTTTCATGAAACTAATATAGTCATATTTGCTTTTTGTAGTAATGATTTTGATGACTTTTTTCATATCATCATAATCTTGTTATTTCAAAGGTCCAATGTATCACAGATTTTAGATCATAACTGTTATTATAGTTTATTTCAACTGTGTGATGCAATTTATTTTTATGATACATCATACATTCGTAACTGCAGTTGTATAAATGTATAAGAAGAGTGCAAAAAAGTAAAACAAAATAAATTTGTAGCAACTTTTTGCAACAAACTTTTTTTAGCTAATTTTTTTCAAGCCTTTTGTGTAGTGCTAATTATGCTCCTCTGTTATGTGTACAAATCAACTGTTCTTTAAATGATATTTCAGTCCTCACATACTTGGTGGATCAACTATGTGACTGTTTCCTCTCTATTTTTTACATATAATGGACCAATTACTATGTATTCTCCATAATGCTATCTTACCTCGTACTATAAACTAATTTTTGTAATTTTTTTACTGATACTGAATGATTTTAAAATGATAAAAATGATAATAATAAGTTTTTTTTATTCCTTCTAATTAAAAGAAATCTTAATTTAGAAAAATATGTAAAACACTTCTAATACACTTTTCCACAATAAAAAAACATAAATGAGCCATGCAAGCACATTAATTCTTATTGCCATTCTTTCCTTCGCTTTGAAAGAATTAACAGGTTACTTCAAGCTATTTAGTCAAATGTAGTCTGTGCGTTGTATCCTTTTGCTAAGTTGCAAACTCACAAATAGATTTTCTATCTACAGAAGAAAAACTCAAAAGTATATTTTAAGTGTTTTATTTTGCTAATTTTGTGCTGTGTTTATTTTTATTTTGTGAATTTTTAATTATTTTAAAATTTGTTTGCTGATTTTAGAAAAAAACATTTCACATTATTGAAATGGTGTAATTATTAGTTGTTGTACATTATTAAATAGAGGTTATATATTATTCATTTCTAAGAATATGTAGGAATAAACATTCATTATGTAACAAATGAAAATGCTGTCAGAAACTTAAAGACTCATATCAATAAGAATATCTATGCCTTATCAGTTCAAAGAAATGAGAAATATTGGTTATTTGTACTTTTCCTAACTTTGTCATTTGAGTAGATTGTTCTGGTAACTGAATCTTCGTTTCAAATTATTTTAAATACAAAATGAAAATTTAAAACTCCTATTTTTATGTCTTTTTTTCTAGTGTATATCATTGAGCAATATTTTAAAGAAGGTATCAGATTTGTCAAAATATATATTTATTATAAAGCTACTAAAAATAATCATGATTATCACTGAAAAACAATGATAAGTGGTTTGAGTCACTGATAATTAAAGTTCTAGCTTTAAAGAGCACAATTAATTGCAGTGATATTTAATTCCATTTTCATGGTAGATATGAGAACTGAATAAAGTAAAATATAAGACATAAAAAATAGTGTAGAACTAAATTATGTAACATTTTCTGTAATTTAAAAAATGCTTTTCTTTTATCTTTACTTCAACGTTACCTTTTCACAAATTAAAACTGCTATAAAATTAAGTTAATCTGAGGTCAATATGTGCAATTTTAATCTGGTTATGTTATATTTTGCCATATTTATTTTCTGAATTGAGTCTATAAAATTTTTTAGACAGTTTAGAAGATCCTTGCATTTGCTAAAGGTGCGGGTTTTTTTCTCTCCATCTTTTCTGATTTTATCTCATTAGCCTTCTTCCCTCAAAATATATTTACTCATTTTCATTTTCTAAGAGAAAATGATAAAGCATGCGCTTATTAATTAGATATGCTGAAAAATCTGAAAATTTCGTTGTTTCAATTTGTACCAAGCATTTTATTTATTTATTTATTTTTACCTAATTCAGTCAATGCAACTTTTAAATGTTTAATTGAAAAAGTATTTATAGACATTTTAGAACCTGGAGTAGTGTTTAAAATTGAATTGTTTTTGTTGGAAGTTTACACTAAGTGTCATAAATCATAAGTAAAGAAGAATAATTTTATTTTAAAAAAAATGCATACTTGCTGGCAGTAATATGATGAAAAAATAATTTTGTTTCAATGAAACAAAACTGATAGGTAGTGGTTACAATTTCAATGTCAATGGTTCAAAAGAACCCTTTAGCAAATGTTTGATATATTTCTTTATTGCAGATAGCTGTACAGTTAGCTGTCAGATAATTGAAACATTAAAATTATATGGGTGCATAATTTTAATAATCTACATTTATTTATGAATTCTGAAAATCAAGATTTTTTTTAACTGTAATAATTTTTATATACAAAATCAAAGCAACCAACTTTAACTAGTAAAATATTAATTTGTAGTCACTTCATTCATTAACCAATGATTCAGCTGTAAAATTTCTTAATGTGACTAATTGAAAAATTACTTTCTGAACAACCCAATACTTGAACGTTTCTCATCTTACCTGTTTTTAAACCTTGCTTCAATTAATCAAATGATTGCCCGAAGCAATCAAATTATTACTTTAATCTAAACTAAAAGTCTGTAGTTTCATAAAATTTAAATCAGGCTATAGACCTTTTAAATGATCAATAGATCTTCATTGAACTAAAGGAAGAAATACATTCTTGCCATTAGCAACCTTAAAAACACCAATAATTGATTGGTGGACAATTCATCTATTTTTGCCTCATAGCTTAGACATTTCTATAACATACAGCATTTTCAGGTTTTTAGTTACAAATCATTTATCACTCAAAAGTTATTTCAATAATTTATTTTCCAATAATTTATTTCATTGAGAGTAAACATAAAATGTAAACTACTTTTCTTGTAGCCGTTATTTTAAAAATTTAAACAATGGTGCATCAAACTTTGAGTTTTTGTTTGATATCTCAACTTTATTAAATAAATGAAGAAAAAAATGAATAAAACTGGGTGACAAATTTTATTTATGTGTAACCATAATTTAAGTTAAATATTTTAAATTTTAATTGAAGGAACTTTTGTCATTTGTTTTTTAAACGCAAATTGCTAGCTTATTTTTATTTGCTCGCTCCCAATGAAATATTATCCATGTTGCTAGATGAAAATGAGAGGGAATGTTGTTTATAGGTCATAGATTGATTGAATGTAGAGTTTAATGGCACAAAATCCAAATGTGGACATGCTGCGCCAAACAATATGTTTATACATGTCAAAATTGAAGTGCATACTTATTTTCCTAAATATAATTAAAAATTGATAAAATCATATACAAACAATCAACGGTAGTATTGGAATAAAATCACGTCAAAGTTAAAACACAGTAAAATAGTATAAAGGTAAGAATATCCTTCTAAAAATGAATAAATTCATGAACAGAATAAACTTATATACAATTTAAAATGCCCATAGCACGTAAAAATGCAAAAATGTTCGGATGATGAGAGTCACCTAACAAATCTCCCATAGATAAAATGGAACTGCCAAAAAAGGCAAGACGATGTCTGTTAAAATACGGGCATGTAATTAAAATATGGTGAATCGAAAGTAAAACATCACAAGTGTTGCATTGAGGAGGTGGTTCACCAAACAACAAATGTAGATGGGTCAGTCTGGTGTGTCCGATTCGCAGACGGGTAAGCTTAACATCTGCACTACGTAGTCGCAACACAGGGAAGGGTTCCAAATTTGACTTATGAGCGTGCAACTTATTATTCACTTGGTTATCCCACTGCTGCTGCCATAAAGATTTTATATACTTTTTAATATGTATTTTTACATCTGAGAATGGTATAGATAAATTTAAAGTAGTAGTAGCAGATCGCGCTGCTGTATCGGCTAAATCATTGCCAGGGATTCCAACGTGACTTGGAACCCAGCAAAATAAAATATCGAAACCATTTTTATGAAGATTAAATAGCAAATGCTGTATAAAACACAAAATNATAATGTTTTTAAAGAAATAAAGATTTTGAAGTTATATAAATTTTATAAAGAAAAAGTAAAATTCTAAAAACAAATAATCCACTTTTTTCAATGATTTTTTTTACTTTAAAATATGTTTTATAAAATAATTTTTTGATAATCAGATTTACAGCATCGAATTACTCTGTTTTATAGAATCAACCTCTCTTTTTTTAGTAATTTTTAAAATAGCACCCTCCTGTGTTTTTCTCATTTTGTAATAATTATGAAGCAACAATACTGTGAATTCTGTTTTTTATTTAATTACTTAAATCAGGTTGGAAGATAAGACAAAATAATGATAAGTGGGTAGTCGAAACCCTTTGAATGTAGTAATCATTGATAAAGAAAAGGCAGTAGAAGAAAGTGAATTTTTATTTCTGTCTAAAAATGACCTTTTAAAGAACCTTTTCTTTTGTTTTTTATTGTGGACACCCTTTTTTCTCATTTAGATACAAGGTACAAAAATTAATAAAAAACATTGTGCCAGAAAACTGAGATAAAAACACATATATTGATAGTTATGATGTAATAAATATGTGTTCAGTTATATATTTAGATTATTTTATGAGTGAATAAACCCTTGATGCTTATTACAGTTTAGGAAATTTTAAATGTTGACTTACTGACCTCTTGGTAGACACTCTAACTAAATGTATCATTAAGAATTAATCTTCTGGATTATGGGATTAAAGAAAAATTATATGATTATAGTCATTACATGTTTATAGTCACTGTTAACTTTCCACTGCAATAAATTTTTTCATTCAAACTTTTTATTCTTTCACAGGAATGGACACCAGGTGAATGTGTTCTGGAATTTTTTTCAGTTCCACTGATTTTTAATTCTATTCACTCAGACTTAAATAATCTTTGCATGGTGGTGTGATAGTCCAGAAGATTTTGTGGCAAAGCATAGAAATGCTTTAGAAAGTTCTCATGTATCTGAGCCACTTCATCACTGGATTGATTTAACTTTTGGTTGTAAAGTATGTATTCTTAATATTTCTCTTTTAAACAAATGGATTTATGATTTTGGTGTGTTGAAAATTGTATTCATTTTCTGTACTGTGATCTTTAAGTAGCTTTTAGACTTATCATTATTCATATACATAAATTTTTCAGGTAAAAATTTAAATAAATAATGTGAAAGTACTAATTTTAACCACAAATTATTTTTTTAAAAAATTGTTTGTTACTCATTTTTTAAAAAGAAAGATTAAACTTCATAAAAGTAGATGTAAAATTTTTACTGATATAGCCTTTTTGTAAAAATTTTCTATTGTTGGGTTATTAATTTTTAAAGGGTAACCTAAATAACTTTATTTATTGTTGCAGGAAATCTGGTTTTGTAAGCACTAACTACTTTTTCAACTACTGATCAACTGTTTTTCATGTGATCAACATTTAGTTAACATATTATGTTACTTTTTAAGTTTGATAAGCATTATATGTTACTGTTTTTTCTTAAAAAAAATCCATTTTTTTAGTATTTATATATCATTTTTAAATTTATTTTTAGAATGAATTTTAACCTTTTATTTTAAACTGCATACATCATAATCCTATGAGACAGGAGGCGTAAGCTTTTTTGAAAATGTTTATTTTTTAAGCTCATTTTTCATTGATGAGGTAAAAAAAAAGTTTTATATAATGTTGCTTAAATGTATCATACTGGTTATTTCTTATTAATTTGCTCTATGATGCAAATAATGAAGGAAGTTGCCCTTAAAAATGAAAGTATTGAAATTTTATTTCTAAAAGTATTGACACCTGAATTCCTAAAAGTTGTATATTTGTAGGGAAATGAAAGAAGGGGACAAATATTTCCTTTTAAGATGAAAAAAATGAAGTTAAAAGAAATAATGTATACATTCACTAAATATTACATGACGATATTATTTTAGAAAACTTAGAAGGGAAGGGAAGAACTAAATTCTCCAAAATAGATTATGACTTAGTGCAGTAATATTGTAAAATAATATTGTACCTAATATAGTAATATTATAAAAATGACCAAGCTGTTGTTATTCTTAACATGCAGAAATCATAAAAAAAGGGGGGAATGTAGTAAGCTAAGGAAGTAATCAACGTGTATGACCTCATTCTTGTGAATTGCATGTATTTTTTTTTATTTGGGAACCTATTTTTATTTTTTTAAATTATAAAACAGATTTTTCGTTTCATTATTTAAATTTTTTTTTTCATTCCATGCCACATTTACTGAAAAATAAGCTAGTGTGCTTTTATTTTTAGTACTAAAGCATTCAAAACAAATCTTTATGAAGAAAGGAAATTTTTAAATAATTTTTGGTAAAAGAAAAATATGGATTGAGCTAATTTTCATTTAAATTTAGGTCTATATAGTTTTAAAGTTACCTTCAAATCTAATAGTGAGCTATAAATGGATCACTCAACCTGATTGCTTTGAGGTTTTATAAACAGTCAATTAGCACTGCTTTATTTAGAAGTCTAGCATAGACACAATCTTGGAATTTCCAGATAATTGGTTTTTAACTATAGTAGTAAATATTAAAAACAAAGTATTCTTATTTTGGTTTTATTGACATTTAAACTAGTACTTCCTTTTGTAAAAAAAGTTTTAGACCATGTTCTTAAATGTATAGCAAATCATTATAAAATACGTATTAAAAAATATGAAGGATGAATTTCTCTTAAACAAAAAACAATAAATGACTTTTTAAAGAGTGAATACAAAATTATAGAACTGTCATCTTCGTGTAAATTTTATTTTAAATTTTAACTTTATGCATAAAAACTTCAATTTTGTAATTTTATTTATCAATGATGAATTAAAAATAGTAGACTTTTGACATCTAAATTCTAAAATAACATTGATTTATGTACACTATATTTAAAAAATTGGAACAAAAGAAGCTTAAAAGTACAATTTTATGTTTGGTGAAACTCAATTTTATTCAGGGAGTTAAAAAGAAGGATCTTAATTAAAATTTTGATGCAATTTTAAAAAAAATACAATTTGTTTTTAAAAAATATTAAAATTTTGTAAATGTTTTAAAGTTATTCATTTATAAAAACCAAACAAAAATATTGTAATATATTTGTAGTTATTATTGTAGTAAAACACTTTTTAAAAACTATTCAGAACTATTTTTTTTTTAATTATTCAAGCAAGCCCCCTTAATCTATGCAGGTTCAAGGCTCCTAAAAGTGGCCAAGCTAAAAAAAGTATAATCATAAATGTTAGTTTTAGAATGTTAGTATGAATGTTAGTTTTAAAATATTGACATCTGATTGTGCACCAAATTAAAATGTTACAGGTGTTTGACACAAAAGAAAGTAGTGCTGAGGGAGGGCAAGTCCAGCTTTTTTAAAAGATTTGGGTAATATAAATAATCATTTTAATTTAAAATAATACATTTTTAAATTGTTATTCTTTAATTACTATTTGATTAACTTTCAAAAATTTTGACATAATAATTATATGGATTGAAATTACGTAAAATGTTGCTTAAGAGAATTTCAAATAATAATTTTATTAAAAAGTATTTTTGTCTTCAGAATAAATATGTTGAATTGTTCTGAGTATGTTGACTTTTTATCGATTTCAATAATAAAGAAAATGAAAATATTGTTTTTAAAAGTATTTTTTGCTATAGTTTTCTTGAAATTATTTATCAAATATAGTGAGCTTATTTGTGTTCAAAACTAATGACAAAAAATAAATGAAACATTCTAAATTACTTTAGATGTAATGATTGGATTTTCACATACTAAAACTCAATCTTTTCCCAATGGGAGAAGTTTAAATCTACTTGTATTTCAAATCCTATGAAGATGCAATTCTATTCTGTGCCTAAAATTATAGTTTTCAAAACATTCCAAAGCACTGTCACAAATATGGGATGGTCGGGAGTTAACGAGAAAGTGCATGCCAGTGTGTCGGCTGGAAAATGAGAGGGTTTCATTTCTGCTTGTGTATGTGACAGTCAACTCCAAACTGTTAATTGTTCAAGGAAGTGACATCAGATATGTTAATTAATTAATGTAGATGATTTTTTAGTTACAAAACCAGACCACACATACTTTCTCTGAATAAACTTACCTTTTTTTGGCAAATTTTTACTTTGCCCTCAAAATATTGGGGCTAGTTGTTATCTGGGAATAATGGTCAGGAAAGCAGTTAAAATTTTGGAACTTTTAATTCAAAGCTCAGCCCCGTCCCGCCCACTAGCGGGGGCATCCGGGGTGAAAATTTATTGATTTGGAACTTTTAATGTTAATTTTACTTTTTGCTCAGTTTGGAGTGTTTTGAGAATTTCTTATGTGAATGGAAAAGTTTTTGCACACAATTATGGAATTGGTTTCTTCAGAGCTGATTTCTTACAAATTTTTTTTATTTTATTCCTTATTAATTCAGGGTTGCCACTCCACAGGGAAAACCTGGAAAATACAGGGAATTTAAAAATCACCTAAAATAACTGGGAAAACACAGGGAAATTTGTTTCTTATTTTTGTCTTTTAAAAAATGATGACCACTCAAAGCGTAATCTGTGGGATATTTAGCCTTGATATTTCAGCTATACTAAACTATTTCATTCACTATAGCATTATTTAAGTATGTTCAGCTGTTTTTCCAGCAATTAAAACTAATAAATATACCTCACACAAGACCACAGTAATTGTTGTTAATATATTGTGTATAACATGTACAGGGAAAGCAGGGAATTTTTTTCCTTATTTGAGTGACTACCCTGCAGCTTAAACAAGTGATTTCACACTGTCGTTTTCATAGCTTAAACAACTCTAATATGGCAGATCTTTTACTTGATATTGTGAAAAAGACAAGCAGAAAAACACAACTTAAACTAAGAGGAATTGTAAAATATGTTATTATTAATGTGGTTGATAAAAAAAAAAACACTAATTAGAAAGAAATCAGTTGACTTCTATTTTATGATGCAATAGCATTTTTTTAACCGAATCTTGTAACCTGTGAAACTTATCTAATTTTATGGTTAAAAATGCTGTTTTTGCAATGAAAAGAAGCATTTTGTTTCCATTTTAATATGAAATTCAGTAAAATTTATTTTATCCATTAATAAAATTTTATTACAAGGTGCAGCTATTTATTTTAATGACTTGATCCTAAAAATATTAAGTCAATTTTATACCCTTTTAATGAACTTCAAAACAATCTCCCCTTGCCGTAACGTGCTTCCATAATCAGTTCTAAAATTTTCCAACATATTAAAAGGGTATGTAACTCACTTAATATTTTCATGAGTTATTAGATCTGTCTTAGTTGATAGCTGCTCAACGTATTTAAAATTGTATATGTAGCATTACGTGCATGAATGATTCTTTTATTTGTTTCAGAAGAAAAGATCAAAGGCTCAGTAGGTAAATACAATTTTAATTATAATAATGTAATTTTTAAAAAAAAATGACAATGTTTTATGCTAGATTTATTTTTATTGTTGTAAGTTGTGAAGAAATTAATACTATCAATTTTTTATGCATAAAATGTGTATTAAGGATTTATTTTGAACTTCTTCTGTTAATTGCTTAAAATCTATCATAGCTGAGCATTTCATATTCAAATTTTATCTATAGTCAGTTATTGATACTTATCATTTCAAAACATATTCTTCTACTTTTGATTTGATTGTTTTGTTAACTGCAATTGTCATTTCATTTCAGTGTTGCTGGACATTGCAGATAAGTTTTAATTTTATGATTGAATGATATATTAAAATAATACTGACTAAAAGTAAAAAAGAAGATAAAAATAAATTTAAAATTTAGTTTTTCTACTAAAAACGAAGAAAAATATATACAGTTGAACCTGTTTATCTCGAACCTCTTTATCTCGAAAACCTCTATATCTCAAAATTTCTAAAATTCCCACAAAAATGAACCCGCAGGAAGTAGGGATGAACACGTTGGGGGTGTTTCTTGGAATTTCATTCACTTTCCCTGCACTTCCTTCACTAGAAAGGAATACAATGATTCTGGCAGTAAGTGAGGGGTTAATGAGTTGTGACCACCGGCGGTTAGCTTTTCAATATAGATAAGAAAGCTAAAAATAGAAATTCATTTTCACCTTAAAATTGTAACCAATGGAATGGATCAAAGGATAGTTAAGAGTTTTAAAGTGAACTATAGAAAATAGTTGGTATGCTTACTTGTAGATGCCATCAATGAAAAAAGTTCTCTTCCAAAAATAAAGATGTTAGATGCTATCAGAATTACTCGTTTGCCCGGAGAAATGTGTCTAAAAACTATCCAAAATGATTTTAAAAAAGCTGGTTCTAAGAATAGCTTTGAAGATGATGAACAAAAGGGCGAAGGCATCAGTAAAGAAGAAGAAACTGTTGACACAGAAAATGCAATGCCAGATTTGCCAGAATGGAATGCTATAAAATCTGAATTTAATGTTGACATTGATTTTGAAGATTTTCACAAGTGGACAACTGCCTGGTAACATGCGGAATATTGACAAATGTGGAAATCATAGATAATGTCAAAGGAATATCAGATGAAGAGGAAGAAGCTGAAGATCATATTGATGAACCAAAAGTGAATGCAAAAGAGGTAGAATTCTTTTAAACTTTCCTTGAATCACAGGAAAATGTTGGCTATGAGGAATTTGCACTCTTTCTAACCTTAAAAGAATAATCAAAACAAATAAGGTTATACATCAAAAATGTTTGAAAAGTCATTTTCAGTGTTAAATGTATGTTAAATTTTTTTTTTTATGTAAATAGATGTATGTGGTACAATTAATTTAAACAAATGCCTATTTTTTTCTACTGAAAGCAATTAAAGCACTTTTAATAGAATTTCTTAATTAAATTTAAGTTTTTAATGTACCTGTATAACTCGAAACCTCTTTACCTCAACTTTTTCGCTTCTCCCGTGAGATTCGAGATAAACAGGTTCAATTGTATATAAAAAGGGAAAAATTCCTAAAAGTTAGCCTTTTTGCTTCTAATATAGTTAGTTATTCAAAGTATTAGTGCAGTTCGAATGATAATTGTAAAAATTTAAACGCAACTTCATTGAAGTAAGTCTGATCTTGACAAAGAAATTTAAAGTATCAAGTAATGCATTTACAATTAAAGAAATAGTTTATAACATTCCTACTGGGAGTCAATACTAGATGGCCTTTTGGCCTTGTTTACTATTGATCTAAGTATTTTGCTAATATTAGTTGGCAGTCCTTAATTAACTTTTTATGTAAGTAAATCAAATTACATGGTTAAGGTAATCTTAGATCCTGTTTTAGGCTATTTTTCAAAAGTCCTTTCATTGTATGAAATTACATTTGCAAATAATATGGTATTTTTTTAATTGTCGGTTTGCAAAAGCTATTCAAAACTTTTAAGTTTTGTTCATCTTAGTTCCGGTGGCACAAAATTTCTTTCTGAAAATAATCCACAGTTTTTTTCATTTGAAAAATGTTTGAGATCTAAATTTTTTAGTATCTTAAAATTTGCTCCATCACTGCTTTTGTTTCGTCTTATAAAACAGCAAAAATTTTAATTATTCTTTTATAATGATTTTAATTTAGGTGGAAAAAAAAACCTGTGGCAGAATTTTTTTCGGGCTTTCTGCGACATGCCTCTCTAGTACAAGTATCTTTCTGCAGGATTCTTTTAAATATAAAAAATATACTTGTTAGTAACTGAAATGTCAACTAAAAATTTTTTTTTTTTTAAAATCTAATATTATGGCAGATATTCTCGCATTTTGTCTGTGAAAAATACACTAATAATTTCCTTTTAAGAAATTTTGTTAATCATCATCACATTGAATGAAAATAATAAAAAAGTTGTGAAATCCATAGCAGTAACTATCAGGAAAAAAAGATTGAAGGCGAAATCAAGTGAATCGGTTTCTTCGAAAAAGGATTACTAAATGCCTGTTTTCATTTCGAGATTCAGTTGCTACAATAAATAATATCAAATTAATAATATAGGAGTTTAAAAACTATGTGAAATCAAAATTAATAGCGAAATAAAAAAAATAATAGAATGAAAATTTCTGCTGAGAAGAAAACCAAAATTATTTACTTCCTAACGGAAAAATCTTTTTGCAAGAACTCCGTATTGTTCTGTAACAATGTCACCACGATTTAATTATCTACATATGGACCTGTAATCCATAATTGAGTGTTTTTTATGTATTTCTTTTTTATTTTAAGTCCAATTAAATCAAAGAATTGAACTGATAGAACTCATAGTAGTTTTTTTATGTGAAAGAAAGAAATCCACACTTATTAGAAATTTAATAAAAGTATCTTTTAATAAGACTAAATATTTTGAAATGGAACTTTTTCTACCAAAAATATTTTGAATATTATAGTTCAAATCTTAATTAATATCACTCAAATTCAATAATAATTACATCTCAAAATTAATGTTATGCTTTTATCTAGAAATGAGGAGCCCATACAAATTGAAGAAGAAATATTCGAAAAGGATGTCTCGATACAAATGTATTAGATGGAGGTCCAACTGTTGAAAATAAAGAAATAGATTTGAGTGAAGAGGTATTTTAATGTCTTAGTACTGTAAAGATTATTTCATTATCCTTTAGGTCAGGGGTTTCCAACTTACATGAGGCCGGAGGTCACAATTATAAACACAAATCAAATGGCAGGCCGCAACTTTATCAAAATTTTATGTAGGACTCTTTTATGTTTGAAGGAACATTAGTAGAAAGTATTAAATTACAAATTAAAATAAGAAGTAGATTTTTAAAAATACTTAATTGTTACTAATAATATTTTTAAAAATATTAAATAAATAATAAAAATTCGGGCTACAATAACATTAATGTGCACCTATGTATTAAACAATTAATGTGCAACAGATATCTAATTGTTAAGATATAAAACTTTAAAAAGGTTGATATTAAAATTTACATAGTACCACACAAAATGTTCCATGAGAAAATTGAGGTTTGTCTGCTGTCACCACCAGAGAATAGATATTTACATTTAAAATTTACAAATATGAGTGTAAATATTTTCATCCAAAATTAGTGGTTTCTAAAATTTATGATACACACATTGAAATATATTCACAAAATACAAAAGAATGAAATAAAAAAGAGCAACATACAGGATTATTTTGGTATTTGATTAAATATTTTCTTGGATGCAAAACCCGAGAAAGAAATTTTTTTGCACCGTTGGTATGTTAAATTTTGCAGAAACGAAGAAATTAGGTTTCTATTATCGAGAAAAGTAATTTAAACTCATATAAATTTTTACGATAATTGTCCGCAAAAAAATGACAACTAATATATTTTAGTTTGTGGGTCACAAAAAACGGGCCGGATGCGGTCCCCGTGCCGCCAGTTGGAAACCCCTGCTTTCGATTATTAACCTGTTAACTGATAATATACTTTTTGTTATAACTTTAACTGTCATTCTAAAACCAAAAATATTTGTTAATGAGACATATGTTATAAATATATTCTTGAGGAATCTTGAATTATATTATAAGACTTTGAAATGCCTTTTTCAGAAATAGTATCATTAAGTTTTAACTCTTTCATTGCGACAGACAAGATAACTTGTCTTCTGAGAATAATCGCTGTGCTCCAGTGTTGAATTAGTGAATATGGTTATTGATTGCAACTAAATATTATAATATAATATTATTTATTAAAGTAAAATAATAAAATTTTCATGGAATATGCATTTTATTTCAATTTTAGTGCTGCAGTGAGAACTCTAAGTGCAGAGGGTGGGATGCATCATTGCCGCGGTGCAAGTGCTTAAGTTAAAACTTAACCAACACAAAAACATTATAAATGTAACCTATAAATAATATTTCAAAAACTAAAAAAAAATCAGAAATATCAGTTTCAATTATAAATACTTTTTTCAGAGTGAACTTTTTTCAGAAATAAAAAATGAACACATGTATTGCCAAGAAATATGAAAACTAAGCCATTATCTAGTTAGCTGATTTAACTGCTATATTAATATAACATTGTGTGTTCCATTCACATATTTTTTTCAACCTATAAATTCTTGAGTTGGAAACTAATGTTTTGTTATGAAATTAACTTATTATTTTATTTTGAACGGAGAAAAGTAGAATCTAAATGCAAAAAAGTTAAAAATAGATACCGTAGCTTTTGAAACTAAATTTTTTGCAAAAAATAGTATGTTTAAAATGTGCATTTAGTAATTACTTTGAATAGTTCAGATTAACTCCAAAAGAAATAAAATAACATTTAATGCCATTATTCTAACATTGAACTGGAAAGATATCTTAGCAAAACTGTCCATCCTAAGTCTAGGGAAGAAATTTCATAAGTGCTTCCTGTGGTGTATTTTCACTTTCAGCTAATCATAAATCTTTGTTTTGACGTCACTTCAGTTAGTTATGACTCTTGAACAAACAAAAGAAAATTGGAAGTGATTATAAGAATGCCGGACAAGTCCATGTTTTCAGATAGTACTTTTGCATACCTGCTCAGTTATTATTATCAGTTATCCCTAGGTAAAAAAATTATGTAGCTTGCCTTGAAAATTATTTCTTATTAAATTTTCATCATCTATAAAGCAGAAAGTAACATAATAAGCAAAAAAAAAAAGAAAATGTTTTAGGACGTATTCTTAAGTTTAATAAATTTTTCCTTCATTAATATTAATTGGTTAGACATAGTTTTGAGTACCTGTTCACTTTTTTTTTCTAAATCAACCAAACTTTAAGTGCTTTTGTTTGCATACTAGCTTAAAGTTCATTTTTGCTTTTAGCTACAGCGAAAGAATTCCAGCACTTATACCAAATGTTTAAAACGAAGCAGAAAAATATTTTTTTTTGTTGGAAGATCTTTATTTCTCTGTTTTATGTTTTGCTTTCTGTTTAAATCATTCTGTCTCAAATCGTTTGCTTTTTGTTTAAACTATTTCTTTCTTTAATGCTATTTATCTAAGCTAAATTTTAGCATTACTTTATAGAAATTGTAGCACATTAATTAATTCCAACCTTGGCAACAAGAATCAGATCATTGTTTTTATCCTAACTCAGTGAATGCCCAAACAATCTGAAATTTAACTGACCAGAATTTTTAAAATGTAAGTATTGTTATTATTTGCAAAAAATCAACCAGAATAATTGTACCATTACCCTTCAAACTTTGGCAAGGCTGGGATCTTTTAATTGAATTTTGGTAACAGTTACCCAGGTTCAAAAATAGACAAATAACTAATGAATTACATGAAACATTTAACAATTAAAATTAAATTTCATTATAACTATAAATTTTCAACAAACACAGCTTCAATCATCTCCAGATGCCTTCATGTGCACAAAAATTTCCAATTTATACACTTTTAAATTTCCAAATTGTTATACTCAAGATAAAACTCTTCGATAAGAAGCACTTTTAAATTTCATATGCATAACATTCAATTAATTCACACTAAAAGAGACAATTACGAAATAAAAATACTAGCTCATTCTAAATCTACAAAAACATTTAAACTTCAGATCATTATATTCCTACAACCGATAATTAAGATTAAATATCCATGGCTCACCTTAAAATAGGTATCTTAGCACCTGATAGAAATAATTTAAAATTCGGGATAAATTGCTCTTCTAAAAAGTTACTATTCCTATTTATTACATAATATATTTCAGTAAAAACTACATTGTGAAACATTAATGGCACCAAAACTTTCCGAAATAATAAAACCTGAGATCATTTTCAACATAGTGGACTTTTGTTTAGCTTTTACAACTGATAAAAATATCTTAAAACAAACAAAATTATAAAATTCGTTTATCCTAAAATAAATTCATGCTAAAAATATTTATTATTTTTAATTATTTTATTTAGTAATAGTCAAAAAACTTTTGAATTGTTAAGGTATACAATTTTCTACATCATTTTAAAGTATCTAATTTTACGTGGCAAAATAAAACTTTTGAGAAAAATCGGTTGAGTAGTTCCTGAGAAATCAAATTTTTGAAAAATAATATTTTTAAAATTCCATTTCTCATGAACTGATTGATTTCCTTCAAATTTTGTATTTTGCCATCTAAAATTTGATATTTTAAAATTACTGTAAAATTTATTCTTTGCATGGAATTATCGTTGGATAAACGAAGTTTACAATTGTGTCCAAAGATTTTTAAATTTGCTTTAAATGCAAAAGTTCTTACCAAGGGCTATACATTCTAGCCATGCTTCGGTCCATCCTTGCTTCATAATTATAGTATAAATGCAACAGAAATTTTCAAAATTATTTTAAAGCATATTACAAAAAATTGAAACAAAATTTTTTTCTCTATATGCAGTTTTATTAGTTGAAAAATAATATCTTAAAAATTTTAGCGCAGGTTTTTTTCAAAACTGAACATTTTAAAACATGGATTTTTTTAATTTTTACTAAAACAACGGTTTTAGTTTTATAATTATAGTTGAACGAGTTTTAATTGAGATTTATCTAGTTAAAAAAAAAATCTGCATAACTTAAATAAATGTTTCACAATGTTTCACGAAAATTTCCTTTCCAGGCTTAGAATCAACAATTGCATATTTTAACATATTAGAAATGGCGTGTTACAAATTTAATTTTTTAACTTTTAACAAGAACTTATGATATAATGATCTACATCATAGGTTCCTTACCTTTTTTCGATAACCGCCACTTTGCAAGTCAAAAAATATTCAGTGCTTCCTTGCAAAATAATAATAATAATGGTTAATAAAAATTTTTTTGTCTCATTTTAAGAATTTTAATATTTTTGTATGGATACTCTTTAATAATTATGCCTAACAGGTTTAATGATCAATGTATTTTTTTGGAAACATCTTTTACTTTAATTTTGGTGAACTAACTAATATGTAAAATTTTTAAATACTTGCACATTACTATAAAGTTTAAATTAAATACTTAAAAAGCTGTGAATGAAGTGATGTTATGTAAGAATGTAACCAAGTAAACCTGCAATCCATTTTGTGTACAGAGAAACATATTTCAAAATTAAATTCGAGAATTATATGTTATAAATTAACAATAAGAAATTCCTAAATAATTATATTTTAATATATTCCTTTTGAATGTTAAAAAAAAAATGGATTAAACAATTGATTAATTAAAAATATTCAAAACTTCTTTTTAAAATTTGTCAAAATTAGAAGAAAAAAATTTAATACTTTAAAGTTCTCAAATAAAAAATGTATGAGCTTTTGAATGGTAATATAGATAAACCACAGAGTCACAAAAGTTGAATTAATGCTAAGATCTCAGAGCCATTTAACATTAAAATTGTTTAGTGTGTATTACAGTATTTTCTATGCACATATTTATCTGTTTTTATTATAGTATGTACAGTGTGTATTACAGTATTTACAAAGCGTTTTTTTAATTCAAACAACATTAACAAAAAATTTCTAAATTGTTGAATTGTTTCTTTGTTATTTTTCTGCTCCTTTGTGATGTAGTGAGCTGTCAAATTTTCTGGATTGAATTCCTAATAAAGCCATATGAAGCTCACACACACTTTAACAAAATAACTGCTTTGATAACAAATATTATATGCTGAGTTAGGCATTTATATAATTCTTCAACATCAAACCAAAAATGACTAAAATTTTAAATGTACTAATTTCATTTATGTTCATTAAATACCTTCTAAAAGTAATACTGCTCTAATGCCCACAATTGTACTAGCGCCACATTAAAAGTCATCATCCATTACTGGCGGATAATGCCCATGTTTTGAACCTATGTGATCTTTAAAATATGACTTTTTAATCTTTTTTCTTGTTAAATACTGATCCAAAGTTTCAAATCTAATGTTTTTAGTATCGTATATAGTTGTTGTGTCAGTGCCATATTCAATTGCTATTCTGTTTCTTTTAATGTCTTTCTTCAATATTTTAACAATCTCAATTTTTTTATGTAATGATAGTGAGACTATTTTGTGCTTTTCAAACATGTTGGAAAAGTCCTCTTGCACCTACAAAATTTATTCAAAAAAAGTAGCATGTGTGCTCTAGAATGTGCTTTTAAATAATTTGAAACTGGAAACATATTTTTTCCTGTCTAATTTTAGAAGGAAAAAAGAAACTTGTTCCTTTATTTGTGAAACTGGTTCTCCTTATTACCAACCCTCATTGAAACTAGGGATTACAAAGGATACAAGGATAAGGATTCCAAGGATGCTAAGACAGAAAAGCAATTTTTTAAAACTTTTTCCAGGGAATCTGAAGATAAAGATCGATTTATGTGAGAGAAAAATTTATGGGAAAAGTGAGGAAAACTTTTGGGCTTTGATTGGTACAGTTAAGTAGACAATTCTGTTAATCTTCTTCTTCTTGGGCACTACAGCCTATGATAGGCCGCCACAATAAATTTTTGCCATCTTGATCTATTCTGTGCCATGGCCTTCCAGTTAGTTATTCCCATTATCTTTAGGTCCCTCTCAACTGCGTCCAGCCACTTAGTCGGTAGACGACTCCTTTTTCTTGTACCTTCTGGTTTAAAAAATTTTACTTTTTTTGTGGGGTCTTCAGATCTATAAAGTTGTCCCAGCCATCGAATGCCTTAATAACATAAACTATGTCTGGTTGTTTATATAACTCAGGGTGACCCATTTGTTATTCTCATAGACTGCACCAAAAATTCTTCTAAGTATCTCAAAAATCAGCAATTTGTTCTCGTTTTTATTAAGAGTTCAGCACACTCACTACCATATAGGATTACAGGAGTGTTTTGTATATGTTAAATTTTGTCTAAGAAATTTACTTTTTAGTTTGTTTTTTAAACCAAAGTAGCACTTGTTTGCCATTGCTAAACGGCTATCGATTTCAATATTTATATCATTTTTGCAGGTTACATTAGTCCCAAGATATTTAAATTCATCAACATCTTCAAATTCATAATCATTCACATGCAAGGGCCTTAATGAGCCCTCTGTTTATCTCCATATATTTAGTTTTGTCAGCATAATTCGGTTAATCAGCTTTCAGATCAGGGGCGGATCCCGAATTTTTTCCTGGGGGAGATCATGGACTCAGATTCTACCCCTCCTCACACACTTATAATTTTTAATATTTTTTTAAAAAAAAAAAACGGGTTTTTAATGCTAGTCTTCTCATTTATTTTTTTCATAATGAACAATAGAACAATACATAAATAATTCAAGTATTCAAAATCTTTAAATAATAAATGTAATGCGTTTTTTAGAAACTTTGGCAAATCTGTTAATGATTTTTTCAACATCCAAATCAATTTCTCGATGAATGTTTAATGATGAGATTCCATTTAATCGTTCTTGATTTTGAGTTGCTCTAAAAGCCAAGTTTTGAGACGTCGTTATCATTAACGTCAACATTATTAATGTTTACAATGAGACTATGACGAATTTCGTTTTAATCTTTTGGATTATGATTCTTGAAACAGTGAAGAACATAATTAGATGAAAAATTTTTTTTTCCCCGACCTACCTATGTGTATGTGCCCCCTTAAATAATTTTTTAAATATTTTATTTCTTTTGTAAACTATTAAAAAAATTTATTTTTATTTTTCCAATTTGGGGGGGGGGTCATGACCCCTATGTTTATTCTTCTGTAAAAAAAACAATGAGACAGTTGAAAATCCTTCAACTATGAATGAAGGAAGAAATGTATCTGCTGAAAGCATGCAGTAGTTAGCTCACAGATTAGGTCCCATTCTCATTGATAGGTATTTGACTTTGAATGTTAACTCTATGTTATGACAGCTAAGAGAGATTCTAGATATTCCTCCTCATGGTAGAATACAAAGTACTTAAATTTTTTTGTTCTGCTTATTTTTATTTATTTATTGTATTTAATTTTATTTCCAGAAGCTAAGATGTTGAGTATTAGCTGCAAATGGTTAACTGGTGATTTAAATGCCTGTTGGATTGCTTATCTAGTATAGCATCACTTTTTGGAGAACAGTTTCTGATGCTTCAGTATATAAAGCATATATAGATGATTTAGTAAGAACCTTTTCTTCTTCTTTCCAATTCTGCTTTGTTTGATATTTTTTATTTTCTTTTTAAATCAACAATTCCCAAATTTAAATCACTCTCCATTTTTTGCCATGGCTCCTCACCCTTAATAAAAGCATAACTGATTATTAATGTGATATTTATATAAATTTTAAGAAAAGAAAAACTTTATAAAACTTTTAGTTTCCATTTTTTTTTAAACTGAAAAATGTATATTCTTTAATTTTGAATGCATAAACTCTTCAAGAAGAATTGTTTATCATTTTTAACACAAAAAATACTTTAAGACATTCATTTAATTTTTTGATTTAAATATAATAATTAAGAGTTTTTTAAATCTTTCTTCTGAAAATGCCTTATTTTTTCGTGTAATTGAAATGAATAAGAAATAAAGAAAAAAATATTTATCAATTTCATAAAATACTTTGATTTAATTTAACGGAAAATTATTTTTATTTCATCTTGAAAAAATGAAATAATATTGAGATAAATTTTATGAAAATATAATAAAAACGTTTTTCAGAAAATTCCTTTATATTTTTTAAAAATATTTATTTATATTTCTGAAAGAATTTGGCCTACTAAAGCAATAATGTTTAAAATTTTCAAAATTTAATTAAATTGTATATTTTTATAAAAAAAAACTATATACTGTTTTAATTTTCTTTTCAACAAAGAAAAACATTTATCATTTTAAGGAAATAAATTAGAAATTCTAATATTTAATGAACTAATATTTAATATTTATTTAAATTGAATAAATATTAAATCAGATCATATTATAAAAAGATGACCTCTAAACCCTTCATATCACAACACTTTCAATTTGAAAAAAAATTTCTAATTAATTAGAATACATCATTTTAAGCTCATAAAAAATTATAATCAAAAGTTACAATTTAAAATTAAAAATTTATTGAAAAAAATGGTTTGCTTCAATTCTATCATGTTACGTAAAATGACAATACATTGATTGTTGCATTTCTCCAACAATATGAAAAAGACATATGGTTATATCACAAAAGAGAAAAAAGAGCAACTGTAAATGAAACCTCCACTCTATCCGCAACTCTAAAAGGCAATTTCTCCAAAAATTGCTTAAAAATCCTCGTGTGTTATAGAAATCATGGTAAATAAATTGTAAATAAAAATGGCGGCGGCGAAGATGAAGAGAATGATCGAATGAAATTTTTTATCGATGAAACGGAACAGTTTTTTAGTTTGATAATAATACTTCCTTTTAAATTAAAGCATTAAAAATACTTTCACATGCTGAGATGACCATCTCACTGCAGTTGATGTACTACCATAACAGGAACCTGCTCGTCATTTTAGATAATATCTGGATAATTTTTCTTTTAAAATATTTATTTGTTTTAATTACTTTAGATAGAAATAATTTCTATTTTTATAAATGTAAGGATTTATATTGGCAAAAAGCATCATTTTGAAATATCTGCCAAACTTTGTTGCATTATTATAACATAAAATATAATAATGTATTTTTTTATTTTTAAATTTTAATCTTTATTTCTGTTGATTGTAAAAGCATGTCTTCGATTATTTGAAAAATTATTTTTTTATTATTATAATTTGTAAAATAATTATTTTATTCCTCCCTAAGAATTCTTTTAATATTTGAAGAGCTTATTTTAAGCAAGTTAGGCAAATATTTATGTGTCTCTCACAAAGTTACCCCATTTTTCGATAATTATTGAAAAGTATTAAAAGAAAGTAGTAATATTGTATATAAAAAGTAATTTTAGGAAATACAAGTTCCCAATCCCCTTATCTGTTTCTACATTCACCCCCTCTTTTTTTTTTTTTTTTTTTTTTTNGCTCCCCCCCCCTTTTTTTTTTTTTTTTTGGTATATGATAATATGCATAATACTTTTTATTCAAAGTTAACTATTGATACTTCACTTTTATTTATACTTTACATTTATCTATTGATACTTTTCTGCAATAGTAGTATGTATGTAAGTTTACCTTACTGTTATTGTTTTCGTGTCCATGGATCTTCAGATTACATCAAAGGTCTAGACTATTGCGACCGCCAGCTTCTTCGCCTCTTGACTGTAGAGAACAGCTCTTATATTGTCTTCAGTTGGTACCATTCCCAATTTCAAAACAAGTGTAGTGAGTGCGGGGCACTCGAAAATGTGTCTTGGTGCCAGCATGACATCCGGGCTGTTTCTGCAGGGAACATATGTCCTATTCTTGTCTAGGAGAATTTTCATCCCTCTGAAAGGATTGGTTCTATGTCTTGCTATTACCGATGTCAAGGTTCTAGGACAGTTGAAGTCAGTGATAAGTGGCCTCTTAAAGGTGTGAGGTAGGAGTCTGTATTTGGCCACTGCATTTGCATCTGCAAGTGTGATGGTGTAACCCGTCTTCATGGGCTTCTTTGGCCAATTGGTCGGCACACTCATTGCCCTCAATGTTGACATGTGCAGGGATCCACTGAAGATGACATGATTTTCCCCTACAATTCAGACTCTCAAGCAGTACATTTATGGCAGAGGTGATGTTCGTGTCACCGTTAATAATTGCTTCTAAGGCCGATTTACAGTCAGAATGAATCACTAGCCCGTCAATGATGGCTGAGACATTCGAATAATTTAGGTAGAGAGTGACAACGCTAAGAGCTCGCTGGTGAAATTTGAAGCTAATAAGACCTGTATTCCTTTTAAATTGGTAATTACTACTATCTGGAAGAAGTAAGAGAATGCCTGCTCCTCCTTTATTGAGGAATTTGTCTGACGAACCATCAGTGTAAGCAATTGCCAAGTTGCCTTGGGAGAACTTTTCAATGGTTTCAAGGCCCTTAAGCTTAAGATCATTGGGGTCTTCTTTCTTTGTGCAAGGTTGTAATAAGTTCAAGCTAATCCTTGTTTCTTTTGGTGGCTTTCTGGGAAAAAGGGGTTCTTGAAGAAAATTAAGGGTAGAATGTTCCATATTGATGCGACTTCTGATGTCTCGATCAAGCTGGAGAGTCGAGGATCTGTTGAGTCTGGGTGTTACTACGGAGTCTATTGGTGAACTTGATGGTGGCAAGGTGGCGTCTGTTCTCCAAGGGAGGTAGGCCACATTCTTGTTCAGCCTTTTCATTATTGGTTGAGGAAGTTGCACCTACAATAATTTTAGACGCTCCGTGTTGGACTGAGTTCATTCTCGAAGATTCGGTGCCAGAATTCCAAATTGGAGTGGCCTAATGATAGCGCAATATGTGGTTTTTACTGTAGTACGCCTTAAACCCCATGTTGTTCCACATTGTTTCCTGAGAATGTTTAACTTTCTCAGGGCTTTGTTAGCAGCTTTTTTGATGTGCCTTGTGAAGCGAGGCTCGGGATCCAGGGTGGGGGAGTTAATCCTTTTGATGCTTGAATCGTTAACTTTTATATCTATATTAAAGGTGCTTCTGTGTGTTCTGTCAGTAGAAAAGACGCAGAAGTTGGTCTTGTCAGCATTTATAGATAGATTGAGATCCTTTTCCCAGGTCGCAATTTTCTACAACTGTTTAAGACCACCTCGGATACTGAAATATCTCTGTGGGTGTGCCAGATTGTCGGCATAGCAGGTAATTTTTGTATCGCTAAATGGATGTGAGGATGAATGGTGTCCATGTAAACAAGAAACAAAAGAGAACTAAGAATTGAGCCCTGGGGCACTCCAGCCCGTAATCTATATAACTTCGAGTGCGCACCATTGAACCTCACATAGAATTTCCTTCCTCTGAGAAAATCATTGATCCATATCAAAGCGTTGCCTTTTATGCCAGTGCTGTGAATAATAGGTAAAAGTTTTTGCCACCAAACATGGTCGAATTCCGCAGATAGGTCCAAAGTGACAGCAACAGTTTTCCTGTGAGATTTTTCCTGGAGGCCATCGATTATTGATTGACTCAGGTAAAGCAATTGATCCACAGTGCTATGTTTGATAGAAGTGGAGTATAGTGTGTTCAACAAGGTAGTTCATAAGTCGACAGTGAATAATACTTTCCAAAAGCTTACAGAGGATGCAGGTTAGAGAGATAGGCCTGTAGCTTTTACAGTTGGTGGCATCCTTTTCTGGCTTAAGAATGAGAATAATTGTAAAATACTTCCAGATCTTGGGCAATTTTCCAGTGCACCAGGAGGCATTAAATATTTTAAGCAGGAAGCATTTTGCATTTTTTCCAAAATGAGTGATCATTTTCCCATAGATGAAATCAGGTCCTGAGGACTTTTTTTGGATCCAAACGATGAATAGCGGATTCCAATTCTTCAAGAGTAAGATCAGAGGTGAAAATGCAGTCTTCAGTTATCTTTCTATTATTTTTAATGGCTGATTTATAGGACTTATATTGTAATCTATTTTCAGCTGAAAAGTTTAATTTGATTACTTTTCCATATTGCTTTGCAATTGCAGCTTCTTTATTGGTTCTAGCATACTCGCCATCTATTGAGAGGACATTAAATAGAGGCTTTTCCTGCGTTGGATTGCTGGAGTTATTTAAGATCTTTTACAGGTTCCAGTATTGAGTTGTCCGATTTCTTGGGTCAAGTGTACTGCATAGCTCGGCTCATTTTTCCTGCTTGCAGAAAGAGATCTGCTCTTCCACTTTGTGGCTGGTTTCCACGAGTTTGCTCCTGAGCTCTTCACTGTTATTCATCAGGAGTTTTTGGCCAATAGAATTCTTTTCTTTAATGAGTTCCAAAATGGGATCCAGCTGTCCTTTCTCTTTCCTCTAGGGATGTGGTGTCTTGCTGCACTTTGGATGTGGCCGGTAAACAGCGAGAGTAGTTCTTCAGCTTCATTATGTTCAGTTACACCAGAAAAGAGAGAATCCAGTTTTCGCTTGAATCCATCCCAGTCAGCTTTGCGGAAATTTCATGAGCATTTTACTTGAGTGGGGGATTCTTGATCCATTGAGAACGTTGTAAGAACTGGAAATGATAGCTGAATTGAGCACTTGCGAGCAAGTTTTATCATCGGAGAGGTGATTAATGGCAGTGATATCCAGAGCTGAAGCTGCGCCATTTGTCCTAGAGATATAAGTATTGTCTCCTGTGTTAAGAATTGTCATATTGAGGTCGTCCATAAGGTCTTCAAGCTGTTTCCCTTTAGCATCTAGGTGTTTATTACCCCAAGACGGGCTCTTTGAATTAAGGTCTCCGAGAATGATTTTGGTCTCTGCCGTTGTTGAAGTGAGATCCTGAAGAAGTTCGAGGTCAGTGAGTGAAGTATCAGGATGGTAAGCATTTATAACCGTTATGCTGTGCTCTGGAAGGAGGATATTTATTGCATGAGCTTCTGTGGTGCTGTCGGGCAGAAGGGTCAGGAGGACTTAGATGTATTTCTCTTCAGCCGTTTTTACCGAGAAAGCAAGTCCTCCGCCAGTGTTGGCAAATCTGTCCTTTCTTATTGTCGTATAACCCTTAATTTTGATGCTCAGCTTGGGGGTAAGTTTTGTCTCTTGTAAGCAGACCACATGAGCGTTGTTTGTTTATAGGATGTCAGAAAGTTCGGCAACTTTTCTCTGGGTGCCAGTTTACCTAACTAATTTTTCAATATAATTAAATTTTTAATAGTCTTCCTTTATAAATACAATTTAAAAAAAAATTCAGTTCAAACATAAAAGCTACAAAACCAAATATACCTCCCTTCTTTCATTTGTGTATAGAATAATCTTAGAACTATTAACAAAATACCTATCAATTTTAAAAGTTTTAAGGGATACCTGAAGGCTTAAATAATTTCAAACTCATGGTATTTAATCTCCGTTATTCTAATAATATGTTGGTAAAATTTTATCATTATACTGATTTCTTTCTTTTATTTCAGATATTTTGTATAATCCTGTAAGGTTTGTCTCTGGTGAAGAAGGAAAGAGAAGTAATATTGTTTTTATGAATGTTAATAAATAATGTAATAAATGTTTAATTTTTAAAGTGATTCTTGTATTATTTAAAATTTAAAACAAAGCACGTAAAAGGCTATAACAAAATAATGGGNAATATTTTTAATCAATGAGCCAAGTTCTTCAAGAAGCAGTTGTAGAAGTAGGTTGTTTATTTAAAACTTTTAATAGAATTTATTTAAGAACACAATTGGTAATTTCGACATTTGGCGATACAACACTTTTAGAATTGAAGGATTTGTTGCGTCTAGCGCTCAGGTATAATTTTGATCTAGTTGCACTTCTATGTCATTTTGATTTATGTTGCTAAGTTAACTTTCAAAGAATTCTATGACTGGCAACAGCATTTTTATTTTTTAAGTTGTTTATTTTTATTTCTTTTAGAATTCGTTATATTTTTAGCGAAATGTTTTTTTAACCTAACAGAATTCTTTGCCGACTGTTTTCTCTATGAATGAAGAAAATAAAGTAAATATTTAACTGTTGTGAAAAGAATCTTATTTAGTTGTACAAAGTATTTCAGCCAAAATTTGGGAGCCACGCAAGAGAATTATATATAGTAGTGACCCCAGTAAGTACCCTAGCCAACAGCTGACGTTTGTAACTAGCCAATTGATGCATATGGGCCACTATGCATCTCCCGTTTACCTAAAGCATGGGCTAAAGCAGTGTATTGGGGTACCAGTATCCCCTTTTCCATTGACGTAGTTTCTTTCCATCAGAGTTCGATATAATACCGAACCAAGACGAAAAACCCTTTACCGGTCAATTTGGCAACAAGAATGAAAATATAATAATTATTCCGTCGCAGGAGAGAAACAGAAAAATGCCTGGGTGCGCCGTGCCCGTCACGCAAGAGAAGTCAAAAGTAAGAATCACATAGCTGCCAACCTTTCCGCATTTTTACTTATTTTAGCTATTTTTTCCGCTTTTACGTGCAGAAGATAAGATCTTCTGCATTTTACCCGTCTGCCCGATAGCTAGTATTTTCTTTAAGTCAGACTATGTTGACACTAAACCCCACAGCAATGCTGAATGCGAAAGGGTGTTTTCTGTAGTAAAAAAAATAGGACTCAATTCCGCTCATCGATGTCTGATGAGACTCTCGAAAAAATTTTAATAATTAAGTCTAAGGAGGGCAGGCTTTGTTTTGAAAGAGACTTTTCGAAACATGCTTAGTAAAAGCAAAAGGTGCTACTCAAGCATCTTTGCGAGAAATTTTTTTTTTTTTTTTTTTTTTATGTAATTCTTTTTCCATAATTTCTATTGAGTTTATATATACTGCATACTTAAAATATTACATGTTTTCCTTTAATTAATAAATGAATATTGCACCCTCAAATAGCTGGTCAAAAGTTTTTTTTAATTTTTTTCTTCCTTTTCTTGTTTTAAATTGATTGATTGAATGTAGGGTTCAGTGGCACAAGGTCCAAATTAGGACATGCAGCGCCAAACAATATGGTGAAACAGTTCGAACGTCTAAGTGCATGCAAATGCTAATTGCAGCACAATTAAAACTTATAAAACAGTACTAAGTGAATAAAACAAGAAAAATTGTATGATTAAAATCAGATAAAAAGTATGAATACAGTATAAAACGCGCTAAATAAGTAAAATGTACGAAGGTGATAAGATATTAAGAGAGTATAAAACAATAGATGTGTTAAAACTTTTATAAGCAGTTAAAAATTTTCTTGTTTTTTAAAAAAAGGGCACTGTTTTTTAAAATTAAATTATTAGTAAGTGGAATGCAGTTGCGAATCTTCTACATTTTTATGCATTTCTATTGCATTTATTTTGTCTATCTTCTGCATTTTTAAAACTAGATGTTAGCAGCTATGGAATCGGATGTTTTCACATTTACAGCTTCCTGCGATTTCTACTTGGATGAACTGCATTACCAATTGATGAACGTCATTCACATTTTTTATATTCGGTTTTCAGTATGTACATCAGTGCTTCCTGCGAATTTTACTTTGATGAACGCAATTCCATTTGATGAACGCCATTCACATTTTTTATATTCTGATTTCGGTATGTCCATCAGTTTTTCCTGCAATTTTTACTTGGATGAACGCAATTCACATTTATTATATTCGGTATGTCCATTAGTGCTTCCTGAGATTTTTACTTTGATGAACTCCATTACCATTTGCTGAATGCCATTTACATTTTTTTATATTCGGTATGTCCATCAGTGCTTCCTGCGATTTTTACTTTGATGAACGCCATTACCATTTGATGAACGCCATTCACATTTTTTATATTCGGCTTTCGGTATGTCCATCAGAGCTTCCTGCGATTTTTACTTGGATGAACTGCATTACCATTTGATGAACGTCATTTACAATTTTTATATTCGGTATGTCCATCAGTGCTTCCTCCGATTTTTACTTTGATGAACGCCATTACATTTTGATGATCGCCATTCAAATTTTTTATATTAGGTTTTTGGTATGTCCATCAGTGCTTCCTCCAATTTTTCTTTGATGAACTTCATCACCATTTGATGAACGCCATTCACATTTTTAGGCTTTCGTTATGTCCATCAGTGCTTCATACGATTTTTACTTTGATTAACGTCATTACCATTTGATGATGTCATTCACATTTTTTATATTAGGTTTTTGGTACGTCCATCAATGCTTCTTCCGATTTTAACTTTGATGAACGTCATTACCATATGATGAACGCCATTCACGTTTTTTATATTAGGTTTTTGGTATGTTCATCAGTGCTTCTTCCGATTTTTACTTTGATGAACGTCATTACCATTTGATGAACGCCATTCACATTTTTTATATTAGGTTTTTGGTATGTCCATCAGTGCTTCCTTTGATTTTTACTTTGATGAACGTCATTACCATTTGATGATCGCCATTCCAATTTTTTGTATTAGGTTTTTGGTGTGTTCATCAGTGCTTCCTCCGATTTTTACTTTGATGAACGCCATTCACATTTTTTATATTAGGTTTTTGGTACGTCCATCAGTGCTTCCTCCGATTTTTACTTTCTTGAACGCCATTACCATTTGATGAACTCCATTTACATTTTTCATATTCGGCTTTCGTTATGTCCATCAGTGCTTCCTCCGATTTTTACTTTGATGAACGCCATTACCGTTTGATGAACTCCATTCACATTTTTTATATTCGGCTTTCGTTATGTCCATCANCGCGTTTTACTTTGATGAACGACATTACCATTTGATGAACTCCATTCACATTTTTTATATTAGGCTTTCGTTATGGTCCATCAGTGCTTCCTCCAATTTTAACTTTGATGAACGCCATTACCATTTGATGATCGCCATTCACATTTTTTATATTAGGTTTTTCGTATGTCCACCAGTGCTTCCTCCGATTTTTAGTTTGATGAACGCCATTCACATTTTTATATTAGGTTTTTGGTACGTCCATCAGTGCTTCCTGCGATTTTTACTTTGATGAACGCCATTACCATTTGATGATCGCATTCACAGTTTTTATATTACGTTTAACGTATGTCCATCAGTGCTTCCTCCGATTTTTACTTTGATGAACTGCATTACCAATTGATGAACGTCATTCACATTTTTTATATTCGGTTTTCAGTATGTACATCAGTGCTTCCTGTGAATTTTACTTTGATGAACGCTATTACCATTTGATGATCGCCATTCACATTTTTTATATTCGGTTTTCGGTATGTCCATCAGTGCTTCCTGAAATTTTTCTTTAAGGAACGCAATTCCATTTGATGAACACCATTCACATTTTTTATATTCGGCTTTCGATCCGATTTTAACTTTGATGAACGCCATTAAAATTTGATGATCACCATTCACATTTTTTACATTAGGTTTTTCGTATGTCCACCAGTGCTTCCTCCGATTTTTACTTTGATGAACGCCATTCACATTTTTTATATTATGTTTTTGGTACGTCCATCAGTGCTTCCTCCGATTTTTACTTTGATGAACGCCATTACCATTTGATGATTTCCATTCGCATTGTATAGATTCGCCATTCGTTTTGTCCATCAGTGCTTCCTCCGACTTTTACTTTGAGGAACGTCATTACCATTTGTAGATCGCCAATCGCATTTTATGGATTCGCCTTTCGTTTTGTCCATCAGTGCTTCCTCCGATTTTAACTTTGATGAACGCCATTCACATTTTTTATATTCGGCTTTCGGTATGTCCATCAGAGCTACCTGCGATTTTTACTTGGATGAACGCCATTCACATTTATAATATTCTGTATATCCATCAGTACTTCCTGAGAGTTTTAATTTGTTGAACTCCATTACCATTTGATGAACGCCATTCACATTTTTATATTAGGTTTTTGGTATGTCCATCAGTGCTTCCTCCGATTTTTACTTTGATTAACGTCATTACCATTTGATTAACGCCATTCACATTTTTTATATTAGGTTTTTGGTATGTCCATCAGTGCTTCCTCCAATTTTTACTTTGATTAACGTCATTACCATTTGATGATTGCCATTCACAATTTTTATATTAAGATTTTGGTATGTCCCTCAGTGCTTCATCCGATTTTTACTTTGATGAACGTCATTACCATTTGATGATCGCCATTCACATTTTTTATATTCGCCTTTCATTATGTCCATCAGTGCTTCCTCCGATTTTTAGTTTGATGAACGCGATTACCATTTGATGAAATTTATATTCGGCTTTCGTTATGTCCATCAATGCTTACTCCGATTTTTACTTTGATGAACGCCATTACCATTTGATGATCGCCATTCACATTTTTTAAATTAGGTTTTTCGTATGTCCATCAGTGCTTCCTCCGATTTTCATTTTGATGAACGCAATTCACATTTTTTTATATTCGGCTTTCGTTATGGTCCATCAGTGCTTCCTCCGATTTTTACTTTGATGAACGCCATTACCATTTGATGATCGTTATCACATTTTTTATATTAGGTTTTTGGTATGTCCATCTGTGCTACCTCCGATTTTTACTTTGATGAACGCCATTCGCATTTTTTATATTATGTTTTTGGTACGACCATCAGTGC